AAATTTTAATAAAATTATATAATTTAGGGGTGTTTTTCTTCTTAATTTTTAAAAATTTAGCTAATAAACATTAATATTTATAGTTATTATTGTTATTTTTACCACTAGAATATAGGAGAAATGGCCATGGTTAAAGTTCCACTTCTTAAAATCATCATCGTTGATATATTCTTGATTAGTATAATTCATTATCATACGTTGGTGATTTACTTGCAAATTAGGTGACCTTTACTACATATTCTTAGTTGCCTGGAGTAAACACATAATAGTTCTACAAATTCACTACTACTGTTTTTCGTTTACATAAAATTAACACATCTTATCAATTAAGGAGATTCAGGTTTAACATTAATGGGATTTCTCTTTTAGAATGCTTTTCTTACAAGTAGGTCCATTTCCTACTCCTTTCTCAACGAAAGGAACAAAGGAATTCCCCTTTCATTTTTCCACGGTTGACGATAACCTTGTTTTGGGATTGATTTTGTAACTTGGTCTGCACTGCACCAATAATATATGTTAGTGGCTTCACTAGAATTGCTTTATAAAGTAGCTTCATTAATTGGACTCAATCGATTGTTTGGCAATTATATAAAGGAAGTTTCCAGGATGCTCCCAGTTTTGGTTTACATTGAATATATTATCAAATCTCATCAATTAAGGAGAGAATCCAACTTTAACTTTAGGATTTTTTTTTAAGGTGTAATTATAATACTCTTTTACTTATCAAGTCATATATATTAAAAAAAAATTATATAAGTTTTAACATCAATGTTACATATATTAATATAATTATTTTATTGCTAAAATTAAAGCCAAACTTTATATTTGTTTAAAGGGTACAGATTAAGGGAATGTTAAATGTATTTTTTATGCATTAATTTACATAAAAAATTAAAAAAAAAGTTAATATTAATTTTAACATCTATAATACTTGGATGTTTTTTATTGGACAATTAATAAAATTAATTTCAACTTTTTAGTTTTATTATGTGTTTTAATTGTAAAAAAGTGTAATAAATACACTCTTATTCCATGCCCTTAGAAAAATCCTTTATTTTTTATATAATTTTTTTGAGACCTATAACTAACAATATAGATAACTTTATTATCCGATCACATGACTTATGATATTTAAAAAAAATCCATCGTCACATGAATAACACTCAATAAATTAATTTTGAAAAGTATATTAATTTAAAATTTATATTAATTGATCATAAAAAAATCAAATATTTTAGTGCCTCACATCATGATTATCTTTATTTTAATTGTTATTTTCTTTTTAGTTATTTTTAATTAAAATTTATTACTTTTAGATTATTCAAATAAAATTAGATTAATTATTTTTAATATTTAATTAATCACAACCCTCTTATCTCATGGGTTTCACACTCTTATCACCATTGTATTAGAGCTATTATTGTACTTACATTTCCAACCCAGAAAATTAGTCGCTCAGAAAAATTTCCTGAAATGATTCTACAAGGAATTAGAATTCAGGTCCCATATTCAAGTCTCAGCAAAGCAATCAAACTTTTGACATGAACTGGAAAAAATAAGGTGAACCTAAGATGTTCAACTTTGAGTTTCATGTTTCTTTCATTTTTCTCAGCAACCAAACAGATGAAACTCAAAAATATGGCAAAAGTATGATCATACCTTGTTGACTCGTTGATGGAGAAGGAAGTGAAGGAGAGAAGTGCTCTGCGAACAAGCCCATGAATCCATAACAGGAACGAAATACCGGAATGGAATGCAACGCGTCGCTTGAGGATCGAAGGTTTGCCAATGGGGATTGGGCAGGGACGTTTTATTTCCGACTTACTGAGCCCAACAGAACTCTATCCATGCAAGCCCGACATTAGGCCCCAATGTAACAAAATGCCTACGACTACTTGATGTTCGGCTTCCTTTTAACTGGTCTAGAACGGGGATCGGTGTCTCTCCTCCACACCGTGCTACATTTTAAAGATTTCTCCCTCCTTTTTCAGTACATTATTTCCGATGCCGTTCAAAATTTACTGCCGGTTGCTGCAAGGAACGTCCAGCGGAGTCGTATATCCTTTGGATTTCACTATTTGCTTAGCCTAAGGCTAAGGGCATGAAGTTGAAAAGGTCAGTTCCAATCTGATTCAATTTCCTCAATCAATTCACTCCTAGGGTTTCGCTTCAAATTTCTATGTCGTATTTCATAAAGTTCAGTCCCATACTCTTTTATCCACTGTAGATGGAGCCTCTTGCCTTTACAGCCTATATGTATAGTCTTTATGTCAAGTGTTTGTTGGGTTGTGTAGTCTGGCTTGCTTGAAGCAGAGAGTATTGCGCCGGACAACATTATTTTGTACAAGAAAACCACAACAGTACAAAGCAAACTGAGGAAACAGAACAGGAGTGCACAGAGCAACCCCAAAAGCGTAAAATTAAACCACTCTCACTAAGAAAGCTTCACACCTCTAAAGTACACAGCAGCAACACACTTTCTGCTTATTCATAGCTAAGTATGTTTACAGATTCAAACATGGAGCTTGTTGCTATACTAGTAGTTACCCCGACTACGTTGAAGATTGTTCTTGATAAGATGCAGCTCCTTGAGAACAGTACCCATGAGCATACGATCTTGAGGCGACCCCATGGAACATGCCACTCCGATCTTGATCATCGAGACTAGGCAATCCATTATGGTGTTAAATCGTGACCTCTGTGCATTAACAATCGTTGCTTCAGCCTCTTGTACGAGCTTTGGGTCTACAATCTCCACAATCTGATCAAGTGAGGTCATTCTCGCATGGTTATGAAGATTAAATCCTCCTTCAAAGAGGCTGTCGGTGGGCCTTTTTCCTGTCATCATCTCTAGCACTAGGATTCCATAACTGTATATATCCCCATGTATTGACACCTCACTTCCCAAGCCATACTCTGCCATTCACAAAAGATTAAAATCTAAAAAATAAATAAATAGAGAAGAAATGAACGCTATGTGGATGCATGCGTGATTAGAAAGAACAGAATTTAAAAACATTATTATCTTTTCATCACCTGGAGCGGCATACCCAACGGTTCCCCTCACTCCAATTGAGCTACTTCGGTTTGACGTTTTGGATTCTGATGAAACAAGCTTTGCAAGCCCAAAATCTCCAACATGAGCAATCATTTCATTGTCTAGAAGAACATTGCTCGGCTTTAGATCACAATGAACAATTGGCTTCCCGCAATGGTAATGGAGATAATCAAGAGCAGAGGCAACATCAATAGCAACACTTATCCTCTGTAATAAATTTAGACTCTGGACTCTATTTTGGCCATTGTTTGTTTCCTGAGCGGATGAATGCAACCATGTCTCCAGGCTTCCATTGGGCATCAACTCATAAACAAGAGCCTTGAAATCATTCCCCTGAAAATTGATGCTTGAGCAAGAAGTTATGCACTTTACAAGGTTTCGATGACGAATGTTCTTCAAGGCTTCGCATTCTGCTATGAAACTCTTGGAAGCTCCTCGATACAAAAGATCAAGTACTTTGACTGCAACATTAGCTCCATCTTCTTCGAGAACTCCTTTGTAGACAGATCCGAAGCTCCCCTTACCAAGTAAATTTGTTGAAGAAAAACCATCTGTGGCTTTAAAGAGGGTTTGGTAAGAAAGTTGCCTTAAAGGCTCTTTCAAGGAGAATCTGGGAGATTGATCTTTGTTTTTTCTTTTAGTCCAATAGAGCAAGAAGATGGATACAATAATTACTCCCACAAGTGAGACAACTATAATTATTATATGCAAATGCGTCAGTTCACTTTTCTTTGTTACTTTGATGCTGCATTTAGGCAACCCAAGTTCAACAATTCCTCCACAAAGGTTCTTATTTCCTTTAACAGATACTGCACTTGCATTTCTGAAGATGCCTTTTGTAGGAATCTCTCCTTCAAAGTTATTGAAAGACAAATTTAGATATTCCAATGCGAGAGTTTCCATGAATTGAGGGATCTTACCAGTTAAGTTGTTGTCAGAAAGATCAAGTTCTCGAATTCCTCTTAAAGAGCTTAAAGATTCAGGAATGCTACCTCGAAAGTGGTTTCCATTGAGGTAAAGGAACTCTAGACTAGTGCAACCACTTAGGCTAGTTGGAATTTCTCCAGACAACATGTTGTCAGCTATAGCCAATATATCTAAGTTTCTCAATTCAGCAACTTCTGAAGGTAGAGATCCAACCAGATGATTAGAGGAAAGAGCAATTCCTATACTCAGAGCAGAAATGTTGAAAAGTTCATTAGGTATAGAGCCACTAAGGTCATTTTGAAAAAGAACCAATTCCTCCAAATTTTGGCAGTTCCCAAGGCTTGAAGGTATACTTCCATTTAACTTGTTTTGTTCTAGGGCAAGCATAATCAATAGCGTTAAGTTTCCAAAAGAACCTGGAATTTCCCCTATAAGTTTTTTTTTGCCAAGAAACATGTCCTTTAGTTGCCCAAGTTGACCTATTTCATTTGGAACTTTGTCTGTTAACTGATTATCATGCAAATCCAATACATTTAAATTAACAAGATTCCCTAACTCTGGAGGGATGTCTCCAAATAGGTTATTCCATCCAAAGTGAAGGACCCATAGTTGATTTGATAGATTGGCTATTGATTTTGGCAATCTTCCTTGAAGCTGATTTTTATCAACATCTAAAATTTTCAGTTGGCTACAGTTGACCAAGACAGATAAAAAATTCATTTCATCAGCCTCTCCGCTTCCTAGATGATTTTCACCTAAAAATAGCCATTGCAAATGTTGTAGGAGCCCAAAAGGAACTTTTAGCTTTCCAGAGAAATTATTTGTTGGCATGTCTATATTTGCAAGTTTTGAAGCATTGGATAGTGTTATTGGAATCTGCCCACTAAAATTGTTTCTCCCTATTTCAATCCCTTCTAGATTAGGAAGGGTGAGTCCCATATCCCATGGAAGATTTCCTTCAAGTTGATTGTCAGATAAGGAGAAAATAGAAATCATGGAAAGGTTATAGATTGTTGGGGGGACCCTACCAAAAAGATTATTTCCTCCGAGTCCAAGAAACCACAGGTTTCTTAATTGGCCTAAGGCATCTGGAATGTTGCCTCCAAAGTCATTACCACCTGTGGATAAGACCGCCAAAGAGGTAAGATTCCCAATGAAAGGTGGGATTCCTCCAGTAAAATGATTTAAGTGAATGGAAAGATGTTTGAGCTTGGACATGGAAGCAAGCTCCATTGGAAGTTTTCCCACTAACTTATTTTTACCAATATTGAGGGCATTGAGGTTGGAGCAATGAGACAGGTTTGGTGGGAGCTTTCCGTCAAAAGAATTATTAGTGAGATAGATAACCTCTAACCTGAATAGGCGACCAATTTCGGGAGGGATATCACCATGAAAGCTGTTGTTGAAAAGTCTAATCTCCCGAAGGAAACTCAAGTTTCCAATGAAAGGAGACAAAGAACCCACCAAGTCCCTAGATGACAGATCCAAGATGGTGACTCTATCCTTTCTACGGCTGCAAGTGATGCCTTCCCATCTACAGAAATGGATAGAATCATTCCAGGACTTCAAAATCCCTTGAGGATCATTTGAAATCTTGGACTTGAAAGCTATCAAGGCCATATGATCGGTTGTATTTCCAGGAAAAGAAGTGGCATTTATGAGAGTTTGAAAAGTGAAAATATGGAGTAGCAAGAGCAGAATGGCTTTGGAAGAAGTTGTGTGGTAGGACATTGTATGACTGAATGGAGCAAAGACGCAAATCTTTGGGAGTTTTGGAATTTATCACAGGTAGCGAAGATTTTCTGACTGGGAATGAACTCAATTTGTGTATTAGCAAAGACAACTCTGGCATGGATGAGGGGAAGCAGTCATATTTAAATAACAATGGACAGTAATTTTGTTTAGCTTGACCAAACTCACCATTAATTAGAGAAATGAATAAAAATACAGTAAAAATCATCATACCGAAAGGTAATGCTATAGGGACCGATCTGTCTCCAAGCCGATTGAGCCCTATAGTTTTTTTTTTCGGTTCTTAAATCTAAAATTTTAAATTTTACTTTTAATCCTGCAATTTTAATTTTTTAAGTATTAAACACCTAAATTTTTTAAGTATCAAACCTTAAATCTTAAGTTTTGAAAATATAAACCCTAACACATTAAATACTAAATTTGAAAAAATCTATTCCCCGACATTATAAAATATATAGAACTTAAAAAGTCTAAATCCTAATATCATAAAATATAAAATTTTAAAAATTTGAACCTGAACTCCTTAAATACTAAACCCCAACACCCTAAATATTTAATCTAAAAAAAATCTAAACCCTAGCATCCTAAATGTTGAACCCTAAAAAATCTAAACCCTAATTAACATCATAAACATTCAATTTTAAAAAATCTAAACGCTAAAAAATTTAAATTCAATTTAAATTCATGTGCCCATTAATATGTTGTTATTTATTGACATGTCAATGCCAATGTGGCAATTTATTACCATCGTGGATCGTCACCAAGGACATCGACATTAAGAACGGAAAACTCTTACTTACTCCTAAAGTGTACTCAAATTTATCTATCTGAAAATTAAAAATAGAGGGAAAATGATTTATGGATAATTTTTTTATACCATTTTTTATACAACTTTACATGTCAATTAAATAATTGACTCTTTTTTATTTATTTGGGACCTATGAAACTGAATGTATCTACTGTTAGGTTCCCTTTGTATTTTGATGATGGTTTAAAACCATGATTCAAAAGAATTTAATCTATTTTTGTGCTAAGTGTACAGGAAAGTTAATTCAAGGATTCTAATCTTTCTCCACGATTAGAATTGAATCATATCCTCTTTGTTTAGAGTTCTGGGTTCGAATCAATTATATTTGATTCGAACCAATCCTGAACTTCTTTTTTCCGAAAATGATTCGAATCAATATTTCTGGCTTCGAAGCAAAAATTCTGGAAGGTTAAATTTTGACAACTCAACTATCTGTTTATTCTTAATGAATCATAGGATATCTAAATGTCTTAGCACTTTCCAAGACAAGTCAGAAGAATAAGGTGGAACCTAATTGGGGCAATTGTGAGGTGGCTTTGAAAGGCTAATTGGGCTTTAATTGCAAGGCTCCTATCCAACTATTAAAAGGGCATCAAAAATCAGATCTGGGAAGGAAGAAGGATGAACTGCTCTAGCAATACAGAAAACAGGGTTTGTTTTTGAAAGTGTTCTGGATCTCCTTCTTCTTCTCTTGTGAGCTTTTAGGTTAATTATCTTACAAGGGTTTTGTATTCTTCTTGGATTGGGATAATCCTTGAAGGGGTTAAGTGAGTTGAGATTCACTTGTGAGGGTTTAATTTTGCACCCGCAAGCAAGAGTTTGTTCCGGTTTAATCTTGCACCCGTAAGCAAGAGATTTCTAGTGGATTAAACTCTCGAGCAAGGAGGCTTGGGGAGTGGATGTACTCCAGGTTGGAGGAACCACTATAAATCACTGCTTGATTTCCTCTTCCCTCTCTTTTATTTTTCTGCACTATATTACTCTTGTTTGTTCCACATAGTTTATAAATTGAAAATTTGATTTAAGTCTTGAAAGAAAAAGAAACAAGTTTTTAAGTTTAAATTGATAAGATCCAATTCACCCTCTCTCTTGGGTAGCTAGCTGGGATTACATCTACTCATTTATTAACATGTGAAATTTGTATAAAATTATTGTACGAAAAATATAAATATACACTATTATTAAATAAATAATATAATAATAAATTAAATATCAACTCACAGAGGTTAAAAATTTTAAAAACT